TAGCCAACATCTGCTGAACGAGGCACCATTTCAGCCACCAGAGAGCCATCAGTGTGCACTGGGTAGAGGACCTGTGGAGAGTTGTCGTTCTGGTCTTGAACAACTATTTGAACAGTCACGTTGCTGCTAAGTGGTGGAGAGCCTCCATCCTGAGCTCTGACATTAATGTCAAAGGTTTTGATTTGTTCGTAATCTAAAGAGCGCACTACATGAACAACTCCACTGTCAGCGCTGACTGATATATATGAAGAAACAGGCGCTCCGTTAATTTTTGTTTCTTCGAGAACGTAAGAAATTTTAGCGTTTTGATTCCAGTCAGCGTCTCTGGCTTTTAAGGTGAATATAGAGATGCCTGGTGTATTGTTTTCCGTGATATATGCCATAAATGAGCTCTTTTCAAAAACCGGCGCATTGTCATTAACATCTGATATTTTTAACGTAATTGTCAGGTTGCTGGAGTGAAAGGGAACCCCATCATCCTTTGCAACAATTGTAATATTATATTCTGGATCTTTTTCGCGGTCTAAAGTATTTTCAGTTACTAAGCTATAGAAACCATTTGAAGACGATGTGATCTTAAAGGGTACGTCTTCGTTGATGGAACATGTGACATGTCCATTATTTTCCGAATCAGGGTCCTGAACATTGATCATAGCAATAACAGTTCCGGGCGGCGCGTCTTCTTGTATTGAACCTGACATCGACATGAGATTTATGACAGGACTATTATCATTTACATCAATAACGCTGACGATTATCTTACTAGAATCAGAAAGACCCCCGTGATCTTTTGCCTGTATATCAATTTGATACACTTTAGCCTTTTCATAATCAATTTCACCAGTTATCACTACCTCACCGGTGTTTCTATCGATTTCAAAAAAATCCGTCACACCGTCTACAATGTTCGAAATTGAATATGTCACAAGCCCGTAAGAACCTTTATCTGCGTCTGATGCGCTCACTGTAGTCACTAATGTACCCTTTAAAGCATTCTCTATAACTGTTGTCTTATATACTGCCTGACTAAAAACAGGTGTATTGTCATTGGCATCCAGGACAGTAACATGTATTTGAACAGTGCCAGACATGTGAGGGTCCCCACCGTCCATGGCTGTTAGTAATAAAGACAACTCGTCTTGCTTTTCGCGGTCGAGAGCTTTCTGCAGCACCATTTCCACATTTTTACTGCCATCGGGCTGATTTTGTAATTTTAGGTGAAAATGATCGGTTGGTTTTAGCGAGTAACTTTGAAGACTATTAACGCCAACGTCTGGGTCCATGGCTCTCTCGAGCACGAATCTAGCGCCAGTTAAGGCAGACTCACTTATTTCCAGCCTCACTTCGTTTTTTGGAAAAGCGGGAGCATTGTCATTTACATCTGTAATTTCTACTGTAATGCGATAGAATTCCATCGGATTTTCAAGAATGATCTGGAATTGTAAAGAGCACGGTGAAGTCTTTCCACAAAGCCGCTCCCTGTCTATTCTCTCTTTTATGACAAGTATCCCTTTCTCCTTATTTAGCTCAATGAAATCGTTGCTGTCCCCGGTATATATACGAGCTTTACCAGTTTTCAGTCTTTTTAGATCTAATCCCAAATCTTGGGCAATATTACCTACAAGCGATCCTTTTGTCATTTCCTCCGGTATAGAGTATCTCACCTCCCCGCACACTGCTGCGGTAAAAAGGACAAACAGACAGAACTGTACTTGCCATATCATTGTTCTTTCCCAGATGCTCCTGGCGATCTGAAAGCACGCAAAACCGTTACTGTCCACCACCGTGTGTATTATTTAGGTTTGACTGAAATGACCGGGTGATATTTTCGAAGGAGTTTCTCTTGATAAAGAAACAGAGGTTAGAATCCACGGTTTCTGTTTTGTAATCCAAGCAGTGCGCACTGAGAGGTGGTCTGTCTCCTACACGCAGAGATTGAATGGGAGGTCCTGCTGGAAAACAGCTAGCAAAATATCATCCCATTGATCAACAGCGGCACTTTGAGTTCAAGCAGAGAACTCCAAGCAATTTCTTTCCACACACATACCTACTGTACAGTACAGTATGTATAACATGTGCATCTTATATCTATTGACAAGTGAGCATCTCCTGCTTTACTGTAATATCAGAGAGGGACATTTTAGTATTTTTCTTTGATGCATACGATTGCTATTATCACCATTACTATTACGCACAATAAGCAATTGAATAAATATATATATACTGTATATATATATTACACCACCTTCAATATAAATGAATTGTCCTTACTCCTTTATTTCAATGTTAAAATATCTGAGATGAGAAACACACGGCATAATGGAGAGAGACATTTTCTGAACTATTTTTTCATTCTTTAAAAACACAAAAAATAAATGCACCCATATACTTGCAATGTAAAACACATGAAACATACAGTGTAACACCACAGCATTGTTAATTGGAGTAAAAAATATGTTTTTGCACAACCTGATAAAAATGAACGTTTTAAGGATTTTAGAACTGCGGACTCACCTCCTGTGATGAGTCCTGCAGCACAATCTCTGGACCAGTGGCATCAGCGTTTACAATACTTTGACTAACCGGTCTGATATATTTGTATTCGCTTTTCCCAGAGTCTGTTGTCAAACACACCTCGTAATTATACACGCGCTGTAGAGTTCCCGTAGCGCCAACGTCTGCGTAATGAGGAGGATAATACGCGCTTGGAATAACTGGGAAACGTCCGCTGGAATCAGAGAAAAAATGAGATTGTCTCCATTTGTAGAACTTTACTGAGAGAATAACTACAAGTGACGAAATAAAAAGAAAAGAAACTACAGCCAAAGACACAACTAAATAAAAAGTCAGGTTGTCATTGTAATCCTTGTTCTGTGAGAAGTCAGTGAATTCCGAGAGCACTTCAGGGAAGCTGTCCGCCACCGCCACGTTCACATTCACTGTAGCTGAACGAGAGGGCTGCCCGTTGTCCTCCACTACAACAACAAGCCTCTGTTTCACAGCGTCTTTATCTGTAACCTGACGTAAAGTTCTTATTTCTCCGTTCTGTAATCCCACTTCAAACAGAGTCCTGTCTGTGGCTTTCAGCAGTTTATATGAGAGCCAGGCGTTTTGCCCAGAGTCAGCATCAACAGCTACAACTTTAGTGACAAGATAGCCAGCGTCTGCTGAACGAGGCACCATTTCAGCCACCAGAGAGCCATCAGTGTGGACTGGGTAGAGGACCTGTGGAGAGTTGTCGTTCTGATCTTGCACGAAAATGCTAACTGTCACGTTGCTGCTAAGAGGTGGAGACCCTCCGTCCTGGGCTCTCACGCGAAGATCAAAGCTTTTGAGTTGTTCATAGTCAAAAGAGCGCACTGCACGGATGACTCCGCTGTCAGGGCTGACGGATATATATGAAGAAACAGGTTCTCCGTTAATCTTTGTTTCTTCAAGAATATAAGAAATACGAGCATTCTGGTTCCAATCAGCGTCGTACGATTTCAAGGTTAGAACAGACAGGCCTGGTGTGTTATTTTCTGCTATAGATGTTATAAATGAGCTTTTCTCAAAAACGGGAGCATTATCGTTAATGTCTAATATTTTCAGTGTTAAGGTTATATTGCTTGACAGAGGAGGCACACCTTCATCCGTAGCAATAACAGTAATATTATATTCTGAGTTTGTTTCTCGGTCCAAGATTTTATCAGTCACCAAGTTATAAAAGGTGCTTGAAGATAATGTGATCTTAAACGGAATGTTTTCGTTAATAATACAATGGACGATTCCGTTATTCCCAGAGTCTTGGTCTTGAATATTGAGCATTGCTATAACAGTGCCAGGCAACGCATTTTCAGGTACTGCATTCGAAAAAGACATGAGCGTAATCTCCGGGGAGTTGTCGTTTACGTCGACAACTTCGAGTAGTATTTTACTTGAATCCGTAAGACTGCCGTCGTCTTTTGCTTGGATGTTAATCTGATAATATTTCGATTTTTCAAAATCTATTTGCCCAGCCACTTTTACTTCCCCGCTATGCGGGTCAATTTGGAATAATTTATCTATTCCATCTGCCACGTGTGACATTGAGTATGTGACTATAGCATTTGAACCCTCATCAATATCGGTGGCACTCACTGTTGTCACCAAGGTGCCTTTCATTGCATTCTCAACGACAACCGCTTTGTAAACTGCCTGTGTAAAAACAGGAGCGTTGTCATTGGCATCAAGCACAGTTATGTGAATTTTAAGCGTGCCAGACATTTGCGGATCCCCACCATCTACAGCTGTTAATAATAAAGTGATTTTGTCTTGCTTTTCTCTATCTAACGGCTTATTAAGCACCATTTCTACTTGCTTACTGTCATCCGGCTGTGAATGTAATTGTAAAACGAAATTATCGGTGGGTTTTAGCATATAGTTTTGCAGTGTGTTAACACCCACATCAGGATCCACAGCGCTCTCTAGGACAAATTTTGCTCCTGGCTGAGCAGACTCGCTGATTTGTAATGAAATCTCTTCTCTGGTGAAGGAAGGAGCATTATCATTAACATCGGTAATTTCAATGGTGACACGATATAATTCCATTGGATTTTCCAAAATAATCTGAAACGCCAGAGTGCAAGGGGATGTTTTTGCGCACAGCTGCTCTCTGTCTAGTCTTTCTTTTATAACCAGTACTCCTTTCTCTATATTCAGCCCTATGTACTCGCGGTTGTCTCTGGTAAATACACGAGCCCTCCCCGATTTCAGCCTTTTGAGATCTAATCCCAAATCTTGCACAACATTACCTACAAACGACCCCTTTGCCATTTCTTCTGCTATAGAGTACTGTACTTGCCCCACCGCCGACTGTACGGAAAACAGACACAAAATAAAGAAGTGTACTTGCCATTTCATTACTGTGCTTGACATTCTCCGGTCGCTTTGATAACAGACAAATCCTTTTGTTTTTTAATCATAGATCGAACTATGTAACCCGTGGTAGAAAAAAAAAGAAACTCTGCTATGATAATTGCAAAACCATTCCAATATCTTTCCAAAAAGGCAAGGTTTTGTATCCGCCGTTTCTGCTTTGTAATCCCAGACCTGAGCTCATACGGTATATCGCTGCCTTTATCCCTGACTCGCAGAAATATGGGAGGTCCCGAAAACCGTCTAAACCTCATAGCAAAAAAGAAAAACCCACCATACTGATCAACAGCGGCACTTCGAGTTAAAACTATGAACTGCAAAGCCCATTAATTCAAAAGCATACAGTAACTTTTGCAGTTCAGAAACAAATTTGCTGACATGTACACAGATTACCATTCAAATACTCGCGAAATCGTGACATTCGACTGCTCTGCGCAATTTCACGTTCTAAAGAGATGGATTTGAAATCTTGTTTATGGTTTTAACATTTTTAACAGGAGATAATGAATGATATAATAATTAAGAAATTAATATAAAACAAGGGTTTTCTTAAAAATATATATTATATTTGGCCGGAGTGGTGATCGTAGTAACACTACTACTACTACTACTACTACTACTACTACTACTAATAATAATAATCACTCAAGATGATAATCCAGTCATTTTCTAAGTTTGCTTTAACCAGTATAGCGTTACAGGGGGAGCCTTAGCCAAGCACAATTAATAACGGGCGCAAAGCAGGATGCACCCGGGATGGTTTGTCAATCCATCGCAGGACACGAACATCAGGACCAATTTTACAGAAGTGATTTAACCTACTGTACCATCGTGTACTGTATGTGAACTGTGGGAGGAAATCGGAGCACCCAAAGGAAACCCATGTAAACACGAGCAGAACATACAAACTACACACAGATTGCATCCCAGGGCCCCAGAACTGCAAGCAATGATACTCACGACGCCCAATGCCGCCCCAATACTTCTATTAATACTACACATCTTATCTAAACGATCTACAGGTATCATTTACAAAGTACTGTATTCTTTTATTTATTACATCTCCTCATTCTCCATTTTTGTTTTTAATTTAATAAGAGTTTATAATTTTTCAAATTTTATTTTAACCACCCTAGAAAATAATAATATTCAGACATTCCTAACGTTAAATATACAATGCCTGAACCATGCACTGGGTAAACAGTTCAAGAAAATACACCGCGAGAAAGAGATAGTGTGGGAATACTGGAAAATTTCTACTTAATACTGGCATTTGAATTCACATGCGTACTAGAATCTCTGCCACAAAAAAAAACCAACAAAAAAGAAAAAAACCTCCAATACACAATCAATGTTCAACATAAATACATACAGTACATTAATATGGACAGGCAGGCAAATAAAAAATATGATACACAAGAAGAGTAAAAGGCACTAAGGAACTAAGGAAAGGAGTGAAAATCGTGTTAAAATATGCAAAAAATCAATACAAAGAGGTAAGGATAAATTGTTTCATACGTATGGGGAAAACGCATAATGCAATTGAACTTGTTCTGGAGGAAAATAGAAAGGACAACTGTTTGTGTAAGATCGTGTGTCATAAAAGAATACAGATTAGAGAACATTTAGAAGCATTCAGAGCTCACCTCCACTGAAGCGTCTGGGCTCTTTGTTACGGTCTCCTCATTTTGCGCGTGTGGCAATGTTTCTCTACCGCTGGCGTCAACACAATCAAGATTTTGACTAAAGGGCCGAATGTATCTGTATTCACTTTTCCCAGAGTCTGTTGTCAAACACACCTCGTAATTGTACACGTGCTGCAGAGTACCTGTACCTCCAACGTCCGCGTAACGGGGAGGATAATATGCGCTTGGAATAACAGGGAGATTCCCTTTGGATTCATAGAACAAACGAGTTTGTCTCCATCTGTAGAACTTGACTGAGAGGATAACTACAACTGACGAAATAAAAAGAAAAGAAACTATAGCTAAAGACACAACTAAATAAAAAGTCAGGTTGTCATTGTAATCCTTGTCCTGTGAGAAGTCAGTGAATTCCGAGAGCACTTCAGGGAAGCTGTCCGCCACCGCCACGTTCACATTCACTGTAGCTGAACGAGAGCCTGTCTGTGGCTTTCAGCAGTTTATATGAGAGCCAGGCGTTCTGCCCAGAATCAGCATCAACAGCTACAACTTTAGTGACAAGATAGCCAGAATCTGCTGAACGAGGCACCATTTCAGCCACCAGAGAGCCACCAGTGTGTACTGGATATAGAATCTGAGGAGCATTGTCGTTCTGGTCTTGGACAAAAATATGAACAGTCACGTTGCTACTAAGAGGCGGAGAGCCTCCATCCTGAGCTCTGACGAGGATCCGAAAGTTTTTAACTTGTTCATAGTCAAAAGAGCGCACTGCGTGAATAATTCCACTGTCAGAGTTGACGGATATGTATGCAGAAACAGGCGCTCCGTTAATTTTTGTTTCTTCAAGAATATAAGAAATACGGGCGTTCTGGTTCCAATCAGCATCACTTGCCGATAATTTAAATATAGAGAGCCCCGGTGTGTTATTTTCTCTTACATATGTCGTAAACGAGGTCTTTTGAAAAACGGGAGAGTTATCATTCACATCTGATATTTTCAAAGTTAAGTTCAAATGGCTCATGAGAGGAGGCACTCCATCATCACTGGCAGTAATGGTGATGTTGTACTCAGCGTCTGTTTCTCGATCCAATAAGCTTTCAATTACCAAGCTAAAGAAATTATTTGAAGATGATATTACTTTAAGTGGTATGTTTTCGTTTATGGAACAATGGACATGGCCATTATTCCCCGAGTCCGAGTCCTGTACATTAATAACACCTATGACAGTACCAGGTAAGGAGTCTTCAGGTACAGAACTGGAAAATGACATCATGGATATAATCGGAGTGTTGTCATTAATGTCCGTAACCTCGATTATTATTTTACTAGAGTCTATAAGACCACCCCCGTCTTTGGCTTGGACATTCAGCTGATAGTGTTTAGTTTTCTCGAAATCTATTTGCCCAATTACTCTTATTTCACCAGTGGTTGGATGTAATTCGAATATTTCACCTAAGCTCTCAGCACTCTGTGATATTGAATATGTTATATGTCCATTTATTCCTTCGTCGGCGTCAGAGGCACTTACAGTAGTCACTAAGGTACCTTTAGGTGTATGTTCTATGACAGAAGCTTTGTAAATTCCTTGCGTGAAAACAGGAGTGTTGTCATTAGCATCGAGCACAGTGATAAGTATTTCAACAGTACCTGACATTTGCGGCTCCCCACCATCTATAGCCGTTAAGAGTAAAGAAATCTCTTCCTGTTTTTCTCGATCTAACGACGTTTGAAGCACCATCTCTACATGCTTTGTGCCATCGGTCTGTGAATGTAGTTTTACACTGAAATTATCACTTGGTTTAAGAGCATAGGTTTGGAGTGTGTTTACTCCTACATCAGGATCCACAGCGCTCTCTAGCACAAACCTCGCACCGACCAGCGCAGATTCGCTGATTTCTAGTCTTATTTTATCTCTTGGAAAAAGGGGAGCATTATCGTTTATATCTAAAATTTCAACTGTAACACGATGAAACTCGATTGGATTATCAAGAACAATCTGAAAATTGATAGCGCAAGGTGATGTTTGCCCACACAGCTCTTCCCTGTCTATCCTCTCTTTGACTGCCAATATTCCTTTTTCGCGGATAAGCTCAATGTACTCGCCACTGTCTCCGGTAAAGATACGAGCTCGACCGCTGATCAGCCTTTTAACATCTATTCCCAAATCCTGAGCGATATTGCCTACAAACGAACCCCTTGTCATTTCCTCCGGTATAGAAAACCTTACCTGGCTGAAAACTGCCTGAACAGAACACAGACTTATAATGAAGCACCGTACTTGCCATTTCATTGTCCAGCTCATCTTTTTCATTGCGATTTCAAACCAAATTAATCCAATATTTTGAAAATAATAGACGATGCGCTCTCTCGTGCCCTTGAAACATTAACGTTCTCCACACCAGTAAAAACATCAATTGTTTCAGTATTCAGTCCGAAGCTGTTCTGTTTCGCCGATATCTGTTTGGCAATCCAGGCTCTGCACAGAGTACAGTGTAAGCTGCGCTTTTGCAGCGTAATAACATGGGAGGTACTGTGGAGCCTGTATGCACAGTCACCCCAACACACAGTCACTAACCAACAGCGGCACATTGAGTCCAAATTCAGAACTGCAAACATTTTTTTCAAGATTTTACCGATTTTCACAGCAGATTTAATCTTAAAGAAGTGTTACTGGTCTTCACTTCACGAATTCGTATGCTGTTCAAATGCTACTGGCAAGCGAACTAAACAAATCAAAATCAAATCTGAGAAACAAATACATGCCAGTTTCAATTACATAAACGCTACACTACACGAAGTAAATCTAAACTCGAATATGATAATGAAACGTAATACAGTACATGAATAATAAAACAATGTAAGAACTACTGACGTTTCTGTATACGTGTGATATTAGTCGACTTTTTAGTCAGGAGTGCAACATTTTACTTAAAAATGTGTATTACGTCTCTCTATTCTGTATATACAGACATCTGTACAGTATATACTACATATAGGTTATAGTATCTACTGTATATAGTATCTACAGTATACAGTATATCTAGTTCAGGTGGGTAGCTGCGTCAGCTTGCGCAGGCTGCAAAGGAACAAGTAATAGGTTTATTCCATGCTGAAAAGAGAAGAAAGAAAACAACGTTTCGGTTGTGGAACTGTCTATATAGTCTGTATGCGTTCTGAATCCTGAAGCAGAAAGCCTGCATTCTAATTTGAGAAACACTGGGAGGAACAATTCGTATTCATTTGTAATACTAAGTAAATAAAGCATAATTTATTAAACTTATTTAAAGAGACGGATGCACAGAGAGTCAAACGCTCTGACAGCAGCTTCCTATGAAACAAGTCAGGAGACTGTTAGTATCACGCTCTCACCTCAGCTGAAGAAAGTACGCTTCCTGCTGGAGGACAGTCCTGCACGTGAGGCATTCTCTCGGTTTCACTGGTTTCCGCGCTCACAAGATTTTGACTAACGGGTCGGATGAATCTGTATTCACTTTTCCCAGAGTCTGTTGTCAAACACATCTCGTAATTGTACACGTGCTGCAGAGTTCCTGTGGCC